TGAGAGAGAGAGAGAGAGAGAGAGAGACAGACAGACAGACAGACAGACAGACAGACAGACAGACAGACAGACAGATACACAAACAGAGGCAGAGACAGTCAGAGTGTATGTTTGAGAGTCTGGCAAGGGGGGATGGAAAGATCGAGTAGAAGGAGGGGGAGAAGGAGGAAGGAAAGATCAAGAAGGACGGGTGGTGATACAGGAAAGAACGAACAGAAAAAGGGAAAAAAGGGGGGATGGAAGGGGGATCATTGTGTAAGTCCAGCATATGTGTAGTCACGTAGAAACTATGCGATGAATTGCAAACAAGCGAGAGAAAAACAGGTATTTGATCCAACTCTGGAGTACAAGTACATTCAAGCTTATTATCAAATTAAACTTTATGGTTAAATGGATAGAGTCGCAGTAATGCACAGGGTAGCAGCTCAAGGGTTGTTCTGTCCCCGTGGTTTTATGCACCCCGCATAATTTAGCAACATTTGATCATTTAAAAAAATAATTTTTGATTATTTTCCTTTATCATTCTTTGATAAATTTAACAGAATCGCATATTCACATTTTTGGGCTCAGTTTGCAAAATTTCAGAATTTTACTTGTGTACAACGACGGGGACAGATTGTTCCTCCAGGTTTTGGCAAAAATTACTTTAAAAACCCACCATATTCCAGGGCACTTGGAAGGTGTGCATGTTCTGTAAAGACCTCAAAATCTTGTGATCATGTTGAATTGAAATTCCAGGTATTGTTGATGGATATTGTGGTGAACAATCAGTTTTGTTGCTCCTTTGATAAAATTCGAAAAACCCGAGTTACAACCGTTTTGCTTCTACCCCTGGAGACAGAATCTATTCAGATCAAAAGGTCTCTCGTGAAAGTAATGAAATAATATTATTATACAATAGTATCATAATGTCACAACATTGGTTGGAATATTGATTTAGGTTTTAAAAAACTATCAATACCCTAAAACAGAGAGAAATGAAAGGGGGGAAATATATTAATACAATACTTTTATTTCGTTTATGCGGAAAGAGGGGGGGGGGGGGTGGAGGAGGGGGGGGGGAGGGGTAAGGGGAGGTGGAGGAAAAAAAGGGGGGGGGGTAGGAGGTGGGAATAGATCTCTCTTGCTTCATACGATTTTTCAATTGAAAACCTGTATAAAAAGTGACAGACATTCTTGAGAGAATTCATTCAAAAGAGACCACAAGTGATGTAATGATTCACAGCGTTAGCCCCTCCTCTGATCAGCCCTTGTAAAACCAAACACAGAGTGATTTTTTAACGAAACATTGTGCGGAGATTATCCTGGTTCCTCACTGTCATCCCACGATGACCCACTCATCCTGTGCTTTAATTTACAGGAACTTTCACTGACCACAACCCTTACGTGTATTTACTAAAAGCTTGAAATAAATACTGTGTAGTTCCGAAACATTACGTCTATTAATCTTCTATGAAAGACAAAATTATTGAAGACAAGAATGAATTTACAGCATAAACACATTGACGGTGATAGAGATGTTGAAAAATGTACATACACAATACGACAATGGAATGAAGAGTTAAAGTCAGTCATTGGAAATACACAATAGTACCTTTCAAAGGTTATAGGCCTTTACAAAATCTTGTTTTTCCAAAAAGAAAAATGACGGAGCATCACAATGTATGTAAGGGTGAGCAATAATTTGAGCAAATTTTCGTTTGGAATAAATGCATAACATGTACTGTGACCGTCATCTCAGTTCGTCACAATATTTACTATAACAATTATCTAAATACGTCACAGCATTTGCTTTAACCGTCATCTTATTACGTCAGTGTTTACTATAACCGTCATCTCAGTAGGTCACGGTGTTTACTGTAACCGTCATCTCACTACGTCATAACATTTACTGTCTGTAACCGCCATCTCAATACATCCCAACATTTACTGTCTGTAACCGTCATCTCTGTACGTCACATTGTTTACTGTAACGGTCATCTCTCTACGTCACAATTACTGTAATCGTCATCTTTTTTAGTTTAGTAGAGGTTTTTCGGCGCTCGGAACTGCATAATGTCATATGAGCGCCACCGTCATCTCACTACGTCACAACATTGACTGTAACCGTCATCTCAATACGTTACAACATATTTAAGAAGCGAAACGTCCGATTTTAACGTCCATCTCCGAAAGGATCTAGTCAAGTGGGAAATTCGAGTAAAGTGCCTTTCCCAAGGACACAACGTTGGACTGACCTGAGGCCCGAATCCCCTAACCCACAATCGCACGATTACGAGTCCGGTAGCCTTACCATTAGGCTACCAACGCCACCCCGACCCCTGCCATCTTAATACATCACAACATTTACTTTAACCGTCATCTTAATACGTCATAATGTTACAGTCATAATAGTACGTCACAATATGAACTTTAATCGTCATCCCAGTGCGTCACGTCACAACATTTTCACGATCATTAATTGCATATAACTGCTCTGTTGAGCAAGTGTAATTAATGGTGAACGTGAGGATCAAATAAACGGTATACTATTATGACGTGAATACATAAAACACACACACACACACACACACACACACACACACACACACAGAGACACACACACACACACACACACACACACACACTCTCTCTCTCTCTCTCTCTCTCTCTCTCTCTCTCTCTCCCTGTCTCTCTCTCTTTCTCACTCATACATACAAATATACAACTTAATATTCACACACATACATACATATAAATGCACATACACATCCTATGTACTCATACGCACACACATACACAATAAGCTAAGGCTTCGTAAAAAAAATGTTGTGTTATGTGCGAACATTTATTACCACAAATACTGACCGAAAAAACACACAAAACATAACGGAAAAGAATGATATTATGATAATGAAACTGGCTGTTGCAAAAATGTCACAAACATGTACGCATACATTGCTGACGCCAGTTTGCTCTTAGTTAAAATCGTAAGAGGCATGCAATCGTCCCCTTTGAGAACACACGCTGGTCATTATATAAATTATATATTATAATAATACTATATATCTGTTAAGCACATTTTGATTATCTGTCTGACTGTCTCATGTTCTTTCTTTGCTTCTTCGTTTCTCTCTCTCTCTCTCTCTCTCTCTCTCTCTCTCTCTCTCTCCTGACTACAGAGATATAAAAGCTAGAAAGTAACCGTAAGATATAAATTATGACCCACCCAAAATGCCGAGATTCACCCCCACACATCTAATAGTTTTCTTGTCAAAATAAATGTGTGCAGTAGCATTATTCCACGTATTGGTCGGGACACCGCCTGATTATTCGTTCACAGTTACTCTATACATGTTTAAAATTTCTTTGCTAAGATAGGGAAAGACATACTGTATTGTTCCTCCACAGGAAGAAATTAATAATGTGCTTTCGGCCGCTTCTGCGACACAAAATATACATTCATGGTATCATGTCAGTCAAAGTAACACATTCTCACTCTCTCACTCATACATTCTCCCTACCTCATCACTAACATACCATGGTAATTAAATGGACATATACAGGGCACAATATTAATGCATATTAAGGAAATATGAGAGTTTTAAAGATATTTGTACGGTTGTTGTGGTGTAGGGGATAGGGGTTTGCTGTCGCACACAGAAGACGCGAGTTCAATTCCCGAAAGGGGAGAACATTTTTATCGAGTGTCTTGGTCTTTCTCCTGGGATGTTGTATCCCTCTCATTCCGGGTTGGCCTTGGCAGACAAGCTGGGAAGCCCGCCTCCTGAATGATCTAAATTGTGTCGATAGGGGCGTAAAGCATCTACATTTAATAACAGATTTGTTAGATATTAGAAATTCCATAATATGTTACACCCTCCCACCAGTTTGCTATGTTCACTTTTGCTGTGAATACGGTCTTCTACATCTCTTTAAATGTGATTATGTGTTGCGTGTGATTGTGTGTGCGCGCGCTCGCATGTGATCATATATGCACTTAAGTACACGGAGGCGACCTGTTAGACCAGTTTAGATCATGGTTGACTGTCATGCTGATGATCCATGGTCCCCTAAGTGTTTTTAATTTTTTTTCCTTGGGGATTTCCTTCGTCTACTTGACAAAGTCTTATCCACGAGGGACCATTTAGTTTAAAGCTTTTTGCCTTATAAATCGGTATAATGCCCTTAAAGAATGTTCAAAGAAACGTTGGACCCCTTGCAATATCATACGTATTTACATCAATAAAATTACCAGAAAGTAAATTTTACATTGCCAGAAATCAGACCAGAAATCAGCTCTGTGGAGCGCCATATTGTGTCCGTTCATTGTTCTCCACTCGAATTAACATGAAGCCAGCGCCATATCTCGGATCAAAGACCACATATTATGCTTTCAAGAAAGATTTAACCCTTCTTTGAGTGACCCAAGACTGTGTTATGCTCAGTGGTGGGGTTACACGGCCGGTTTGCCTTGCATTAAAAGGGTTAAGCTTCTGTGTCGTGTGGGTTAGCCTTTGGTGGTTTTCCTTCATCGTCCTCTACGTGTAACACAAAACCGTTATTGACGTGACCTTGGTTATTATGATCTCCCTCGTCGTTATCACTTAGGTCGGAACTGAGCTCCCCGTCGCTGTAGTAGAAACTGGGGTGAGCATGTTCTTCCATCTCCCCCTCCTCATCGACCTCCCCCTCCTCATCCATTGAGGAGTCTGACTCGGAGGTGGAAGTGGAACTGTTTGGTGCAAAGAGAGTGGCGAAGATAGAATGTCTGAGCTTGTTACTGTCCTCAGATTCTGTCTCTGATCCGGATTCTGAGGAAGACGAGTCGGTCCTATCAGACATCAGGGCGCCATCCGGGGGGAACGCCATCCGTCTGACGCCACCGGCGTGAGCCAGGACTTCATACTCCCCGCCCCCGTCACTCTCGAAGTCGGCGACAACTTCCAGGTTAGAGTTAGAGTCATCATCAGCCCCTTTCGTCTTCGGCAGTTTTGGCGGGACATTCGCGTCAATGGGAGAGGCAGGGGCGCTGGAAGACTCCTCGGGGATAGGGCTAGGGGTGGGCCGGACGGGGTGATGCGGGGGGTGGAGCGTGGCAGTGGGCGGGGCTAGAGCGCCAGGCTCCGCCTCACTCGGTGCTATTGGCGTGGTGTTGAAACGATTTTTGAGAATTGGAAGAGAGGGAGGAGAGGGGAGGTGTGCCACGTCGGCGTGGCCGAAAGAGCGGCTGTTCCTTTGTGGTTTCTTCCGGATCAGGGCCGGGGAGGGCTGGGGAGGAGAGTATGAGATATTCATGTTTTATTTTGTCCTGGTTCAATTTACAGGTTTTGCTTTGTGAAAGTTTAAGATACATGTTCTTGTTTGCAATATTTTGAAACCCAGTTTCTTGCGCTTAGGACAATTCAGAAAGTGATCTAAAACAGAATTCAAGACAAAATGGAGTATGACCAAGAATACAGTTTGAGCAAGATATGATTTCCAAAGAAAATTCTTAGCAATTTAGTTTTGAATTCGAAATGTTTTCTTTGTTATCGTGAATAACCTATCTTACTTGTTGGTACTTATTCTGTGTGACTATCTATAAGCTTTCCATTGATATAATTTTAAAAAATGTTTGTGCACTAAAACGATTCAACTAGGTACTTTAGCAAAATGTGATGTTGACTCAACCTTGCATTGATTAATATGTTTTTTACTTTCCTTTAAAAAACTCTAGTTTTATATTATAAAACCTCCTGTGTTTTCTTATTGCTCATTTAAAAAGCAGCTATGCTCCCGATTAGAGACATATTGGCTAAGGTCAAAGAGGTAAAGACAGATGTGTTGTCGGCCAGCTGTTCTAATGTACTATAAACCCAATTTTTAGAACTCTTTTAAATTGCAGTTTCATAAACTGTTGTATCGGCTGCATAAGTTCGAGAAATATTTTGTCAAAATTCAAATTATTCTAAATGTCGAAGAAAGTGTGAACAGATACATACAGCAGATGCGATAATTAATTATTGCTTTAAAAATGAAACAGTTTTTTTCCCTCTCCTGAAAGAAAAATTGTTCTCTGGGCCTATGGCATTGCAAAAGCTTACCAACGATTCAAACTCATAAAATGAAGAAGAACAATAGCAGGACATACCTTGGACTCAGTGATATGCCACAGTGAGTTAGATCTCCCCCTCTTCATGTCCGCCTCCGCCAATGAGCTGCCTCGGTTGACCCTTCTCCTGAGATGTGGCTCCTCATCTCCCATACGGCGTATCAGGGCGGGAGAACCACCGTCGGCGCGGGACAGTCGGGACATGCGCCTTGAGAACCGACGCATCATTTCCGGCGTCTGCACGTTGGGAGTGATGAGAATACTCTCCCTTGCCAGCATACTCATGCGTCTCATCATGGAGCGGCGTTCGCGTCGTAGATCCCTGCGGAATACAAACACATAATAATATAGAGACTTCTAGGGGATACAAACAGATAGATCTGTTGACGGAGATCTATGGGGAGTACAAACGCATTATAGATCTAATATAAAGACCTCTAGGGGATACAAACAGATAATATGTGGACTGAGATCTATGGGGAATACAAACACATAATAATATAGAGACCTCTAGGGGATGCAAACAGATAAGTATGTTGACAGAGATCCCTGCGGAATACAAACACATAACAATAATGATATAGGGACCTCTAGGGGATACAAACAGATTGGTCTGTTGACAGAGATATTTGGGGTGTACTAACACAAAATACACTGACGGTTGAGGTCTTTTGGGGTCAACAAAAACATCAATCAAAACAGCCGGGGGACTTATCTTGAAAATTAAGAACATCAAACGAAAGGTTAGGTCATGTGAAGATATGTGCAGATTACAGAAACTAGCCAATTTTTGAAAAACTGAGGGGAATTCATAAATAAGACAGCTGGACATTGTCGTCATCTTCTTTTTTGTTTTTTAGTTGGTAAGTGTTTTACGCGCTCGCAACTGCATAAGGTCATACGAGCGCGCGGGACACACCTAACATTTTCAGTTGATAGGAAATTTTAAAATTTTGCCTGAGTGGCAGCCGAAGCCTACTCTTTTCGATTTTGGATCACCAAGGGATCTTTAACGTGCGCAACTTGCACACGGGATCTCTGAGATTTTTGCCCCTTGTCCAAGAAGGCTAGATGTAAATTTTTCCTACCATAAGATGAGGGGTGTGGCTGAAAGACAGCAGCAAGAAGGAGCCAAGGAGAAGTAGTGGAAAGGCTGCAGAAACAGTCAGGAGCCCAGAGGAGGGGGCTTAAGAGGTGAGGGGTGGGGGCAGAAAGCGGAGACGAAAGCTAGAGAGCAGCAACGGAGGTGAAAGGAGACAATTTTAGGTAAAGAAAATGTTTCGGTCGCTACACGTATTCGAACCCGAGACCTTTGAATGAGAGGCGAACACCTTAACTTCAAGGCCACGAGACCCCCTCGCCATTTTCGTGTGTGTATTTTATTAATACTCTTGTAAACTCCATGAGGACCTGTTTGCTATTCAATATTTTTCACAGAGTTTGACTTGAAACAGAGTACGTCGAAAAAATATAAAGATTTCACAGTTATAGAAAAAATATTATTCTTCACATTCTTCCCTATCCTATGATGGTGTACACACAGCGATACATACCGTTTTGGAGCAATTCTCAGGAGAAGTTGGAGCCAAATGGTAATGTTGTCTGAAAAAAGAGAAAGCAATTGATGGGGATTGAATGAATGATAGAAGAAAATATGTGTCACCACACGGTGGAATCAGGCGCTCGTCAAATTTTTAGTACTTGGAGTTAGTGGTACCATCTTAAAGCCTGTCCGTTTGCCTTGCTTTTGATGAAAAAAATCTCAATTTACCTTGGATACAATTCAAGGTATTTGTGATTGAAGGAGGTGGGGGTCGCCTGGTTTCAGAGGTAAAAGTAGCGAGAAAATGGCCACCAAAGTAGAGTTATTTCCTTAGCTTGAGAGTGCGTCGAAACTGAAAATTTACATCTTTTATGCCTGTAATCAACATTTTTCAGTATAACCCACACAGAAATGTGTTTTTGAAAGAGCATAAAAGATGTTGAGCTAATGTTTGTGAATGAGTGTGTGTATGTGTGAGCGTGGAGAAAGGAGGGGGGGGGGGTGCATTTGTGTAAGAGTGAGAATGTGTGTTTGTGTATGTGTATTTGTGCGTGAGTGTGCATGCTTGTGTGTGCTTTTGACACTGTACAACTCCGAAGCCCTAACACCCGTACATTTTTGTTGTTTTCCCCTTTTGCAAAAATACTCATAGTATGTTAGAAAGACGCTGTGCTTACAGCATTAAAATGGTTTTTGAAAAGTAAAAAATTATAGCACATTGTACTCAACATACCCATTTATAGAAAACAATAATTATAGCACATTGAAAAGAACTTAAACATTTCAAGGAAACGAAAGTCATAGCGCAGTGCAAAAGAATAAAAATATTTATATGAACGAAAGTTATAGAGCATTGCACAGAACTGAATCATCATCATCATCATCATCATCATCATCATCA